CACGATGGCATAGGCACGCCTGGTTGGGATGGGCGGATGTCGGAGGCGGTATTTGTGTTTATGAGCTACAGCAATTGGTTGGAACAATTCGTGAGGCTCACCTCGATGGTTCCGAGAGTGGAAGATATGGGTAGGGTTGTGACGTGGAACGTCCAGAATTTTCTTCTAGCAATGTACACGGTTTGGAGTAGCTCTAATTGGGGGATTGCACTCCTCAATCTGACGTGTAGCTTTGATTGGTTTGCATACGTCACTGTTGAGTCCGGCGCGTAGCTTCTGGCTGTACTTCATGGAATCAACAAAAATTATGTTTTTACGACATTCACGAAATTAGTTGCCCCGTCTATTGTTTTTCGCTAGTGGTCGGGTTGCTTCGCATGCTTCGTGGTCAATACCTAACCAGAGTCTAAACCGTGTTAGAGCTATACGTTATAACCACAAAACTGGCCGGAATTGGTACAGTGGTCGTTTAATGAGTCACCAGTGTTGCGTATCGGAGTCTGAATGTGGTGAATTCGAACCGCGGCATCAGAAAGTTGGTCGAATCGTGCATTTCGTGCGCATGTGTCGCTAGATGTGACACAAATGTGACTTTTATGTACACCGCGAGGAGTCACGAAAATGTTACAGAGGGTGCTGTTAGGTTTTCGGAGCTGGTCGGGACTTTTTGTTTACCTTTAGGGGGAAAAATCTACAAAGGGCCAAATTTGAGACCCAAACAATTTCGCGATGATCGGATACTTCAACTATGTCCTGCACGCTGTAAGCTACCTTGCGCCATTTCGTACACACCAGAGCATGTAAGAATTCGTCGGGTCGAACAACTAAGTGCAGGATCTTGGCGAGCAAGTCGTCAGATAGACGTCGGATCGAAGACTCCTGTGACATTGTAACGGATCTAGGTCGACCTAGAAACACAGGTACTAATGACTCCGAAGCTGATTGTGAAGCGAGAATAAAGCCGACGAGGATACTGAAGGCTCTCTGTGACGAATCTGTCCTGGCAGTCGAAACGTCAGGGGGAAGGAAGTACTTGCAGAGATTTCTGCTCTAACGGATGAACGAGCTCTACGGAATGCTTTCTGCGTAGACACGATACTGTAATACCCCGGATAGAAGCGCATCTGCGCTTATGATAAAACAGTGTTTTTTAGGGGGGTGCGTTTATAAATGAGTCAAAATTATAAGTGCATGCGCTTATATAATAACAAACAGAGAAATATGTTATAAACGCACCAAACTGTGCATTAGAGTCTTGCAATTTCATTCAAATCGAACTGTGTGGAGCGTTCTGAATCAGAATCGCGCGAGGGCGATTCTCTGTCGGCGCACAAGGGCAAGGACACTTCACTTTCGCATATGAATGTGTCATGCTCGCCCCAGCAGAGTGTACGAACCAATAGCTTGCAGTCGCTCGTTTGCATCGCACAGGCTTGCCCCAGTGTACGACCAATAGCCTGCAGTCGCTCGTGTCAGAATGTTCTCTTTGTTCTCTAGCCTGCAGTGGGGTACTCTATAGCGAGTACAACCCCTTAGGGCTTCCTATATGTATCATGTTGCTTGCTAGTGCATCCCCCTCTCTTTTGCCTAAACTATTCTTGCCTAGCTAGGGCTTTCCTAGCCATGGCTCCTACTCTTAAATACCCATTTTCACATGGTTATTAGAGCAGTAAGCTCCTGGCCTGTGGGCCCCACCACACTCCTTCCGCTGCAACTGCTACTCTCCCTTTCCGCCGTGCGCCCCGAGGCGCGCGGCGGTTTTCTGCCCGCCGTGCGCCCCGAGGCGCGCGGCGGTTCTCTGCCCGCTGTGCGCGCGGCGGGCTTCTGCCCCGTCCCTCCGCGCGTCGCCCTCGGGAGGCGCTACGACGGGCGACGGGGACCCGCGCGTCGCCCCCCATCGCCCGTCGTGGCCTGCGCGCGACCCGTACAGGCTGCGCGCGGCCCGTAAGGGCTGTGCCAGGCCCGGACGCGGCCCGTATGGGCTGCGCCAGGCCAGCGCGCGGCCCGTACGGGCTGCGCCAGGCCCGCACGCGGCCCGTACGGGCTGCGCCAGGCTCGCGCGCGGCTCGGGCCGCCTGTGCGCGGTTCGGGCGGTTGTGCCAGGCCCGTGGGCGGCCCTTTCCTCGCTGCCCCTGCCCTCCCCGCTGTCCCCCGTGCTTCTACTGGCGCCCCACCCCTCCTACAGCCCGTTCTCCTGAATTAGGGTTTGGGGGTGAGGGGTATGGGGGTGAAGCCACTGTGTGCTGTTCCCTGCTCCTCCTCCTCCTCCGTCTCCCTGTGCTGCAACTGCCGCTGAGGGGGGGGTGGACTTGTTGGAGCCGTTGGAGTGGTACTAAGGGGGGGTGAAGGGGGAGTGGAGCTAGCGGTGTAGCAGCGGGTGTGTGTCAGGGGGAGTGGGATAGTTTGGGGAGGTTGAAGGGGGTGGTTGCCGTGAAGCCAGCAGCTCCAGTCGCCCGTAAGACCGTTGCGCCAGTCGCCCGTGAGCCCGTTGCGCCAGTCGCCCGTGAGCCCGTTGCGCCAGTCGCCCGTGAGCCCGTTGCTCTAGTCGCCCGTGAGTCCGTTGCTCGTCTGCCGCTACTTTTAGCCGCGGAGCCAGTTACTCCAGTAGCCCGTGTGCCAGGTGCTCCAGTTGCCAGTGTGCCAGTGGCTCCAGTTGCCCGTGTGCCAGTTGCTCCAGTTGCGCTGTGTGCCAGCAGCTTCAGCTGCCGCCCACTACCTCCTCTCCTCTCATAGTCTCTTTCCTCCTCCTCACTTGCCCGTTGTGACTTCCACTAGCTTTGCTCATAATTGTGAACTTTAAACTATTGCTTCTTGAACTTGTGCTCAGAATGTGTGGTGACATTGTGATCCACCCTGACCTTGTACTGTCTTGCTTGCTCTGCTGATTACACCCCACTTTGGCTATGGGGGTGTGTCAGAATGTTATCTTTGTTCTCTAGCCTACAGTGGGGTACTCTATAGCGAGTACAACCCCTTAGGGTTTCCTATATGTATCCTGTTGCTTGCTAGTGCATCCCCCTCTCTTTTGCCTAAACTATTCTTGCCTAGCTAGGGTTTTCCTAGCCATGGCTCCTACTCTTAACTACCCATTTTCACAGCTCGCTCGCAGCGCACAGAGAACAGGTGTTCCCGAGCCCCCCTGTCAGGTCAACTTCGCGCTGTTGCGCTTTTCCTGAGCGAGCCCGCCCTCGAGGGAGTCAAACAGAGTAGAAGTGGATGTGGACTCGCTTCAAAACGGGAAGTCGTTACTGTTTTAATCCATTTTTTTGAAATATGTTTATACATGCGCTTATAATAAATCAGGGTTTTATATGGGGTGCGCTTATAATTGAGGATCGGCCATAAGCGCATTGCTCCAGATACAAGCGCGTGCGCTTAACATAGGCCTGTGCTTCTATCCGGGGCCATACGATATTGGTGGTTCACTAAGGAGACAGAAATTTGTCTAAGTCCTTGAAGGCATAGATTTGGCATACACAGAAAATTGACTAGAATAGAATGAAAGATATAATACAAGGGGTAAAGAACTACCCAACCACTGAACCTACCAAGAGAACGTTCTCACCTAGAACGTTTAGATAACTACTAATTATCTGCGCTTTGCCAAGTCAGCATCGGCAGGTGAAAATTACAACACATGCTTAGTTGGTAATTTTTACCTACCTAAAAGTAGTTATTTTAACTGTTCAGGTTGTTTTAAACAACTTCTGTAACGCACGTTTTCGTAGTTACGAAAACGTGCGCCAGGTTCAGTTTGCTCAGGTGGTTCAATTCGCCCCCAGATTGAAGCCCCCAAGTTCGCTCACTGTTTCCGGGAGTCAATTTCTCAATGTCCGCAATGTTCCGAAATTCCCACGCAAAAGTTCCGAAACGATCGCGTTTTCGCGTCGGGGGGGTTCGCCGGTCGAAATTGTGATCCTCTGCAGAATTTCGTTTCTGCAGATGCGCCTTCTTCTGCAGCTCCGAAATCTCTGCAGATGCGCCCTCCTCTGCAGCACCACGATCTGCTCTGCAGATTCGCCCTCTTCTGCAGACTCAATTTCTGCAGACACGCGTTCCTCTGCAGCAGGACTTCATTTTCGCTTCTGCGAAGTAATTCTGCTGCAGTGCAGTGCTCCGCCTTGTCCTCTGCGAATTTCCGCTTCGGTAGAATTTCGCGTCCCCGCAGAACTCGACGACCCTCTGCAGGGTCAGTGCAATCTCAACAGTACTAACCGAAGTGGCTGGGGAATAGCAGGAAGGAATATTTCAGCAGGCTGGCGTCAAAAGGAAGTCTTGGCGTGGGTGAATGGCGTGTGCCTGAAGAAATGACACGGAGGGATGGATGAACGGAAAGAGCGAGAGGATGTCGACCGAAACGCGAGATCAGTGGTAGCGTTGGCGAGATTCCCAGCCAACGCCAGGCATCTCTGAATAGCCATGGCCGTGTGAGAGCTGGGAAAGCTGGGACATGTGCTGGCTGGATGTCGAACCATGAATTCCTGCTAAGGGTCCTTTTCGTTCACACTTGGGCTGTCTCTCGAGGACGCAACATTCTTGCCCAGACGAGCTACGTGTGCTGTCGCACAATTTTTGCGAAGGGTAACGGGGTTTCATAATAGCCAGCTGTGATCACAGGGTGCTTGTGATCACAGAGGGCCGCGTGGAGCTGTGCATGTGCGAAACTTGCGAGGGTCGTGTGTGCTGCAAACTCCTTGTTTGTTTCCTGAAAGGGCAGTTTCATTTTGAATTACAGCAGTGTTGCGAGTGTACAAATATGTTGACTTCTCGTAGCGGCTAATTTACATGTCTGAAATTTCAGTCACATGAATTTTTGGCATCCTCCCGCACATCTGTGTAGGGCATGACAGGATATGTCTAGAACTTTATTTGTATATAAAATTCTCCATCATTGCCTACCCTACAATGAGGCTTTTCATGCACAACAATGCTCCATTCCATTCAATGGGTACAACTCAGAAAAGGCATAGTGTTTTAAGTCCTGTTACAGATTATCTATTTCAGGTGATTATTTGGAAATACCAGGTGTAGTATATGAAACCACCCAGAAGAGCGGCACCAGTGCTGAGCAGGGGCAGCAGCACGGGGAGGAACTGGCCGTCCATCTCAAAGAGGAAGTTGGGGAGGTTCATTGAGAAGGCTGCTATGATCACAATGATGATAGACAGGACTGTGCCTGTTGCTGTTATCAGCACCTGGAGGTGGGGAGGGGAGGAGGTGGTAGATAGCATGGGAGGGAATATAGGAAGAGGGAGGAGGGGACGCAGAGGTTTTGGGAGGTTTGATAAAAAGGCGGCAAGAATCATCATGACGACATGACTAGTAACAAGAACCACATGACACATGCTCTACTTCCCCCTTCCTCTCATACCCCCCTGCATCCATCCCCCCTCTAAACCCCCCGTTCCCCCCACCCCAAGTCCCCAACCCCAGGATGAGCTGCCACGCCAGTCACTCCTGCCACGTCAGTCACTCCTGCCACGTCAGTCACTCCTGCCACGTCAGTCACTCCTGCCACGCCAGTCACTCCTGCCACGTCAGACACTCCTGCCACGTCAGTCACTCCTGCCACGCCAGTCACTCCTGCCACGCCAGTCACTCCTGCCACGTCAGTCACTCCTGCCACGTCAGTCACTACTGCCACGTCATCAGCACCACGCACCTGCATCCCCTGCAGCTGGTTCCTGCGGTAGTCCAGCTGCGTGTTCACATAGTCCTCCGTGTCGTCCACGTACTCATGGAGCTGGGGTGGGCGGTGGGGATGGGAGGCAGGGCGAGGGTAGGGGTACAGTTAGATGGCCTGCTCTTCACTGCATGTTCACATAGTCTTCCGTGTCGTCCACGTACTCATGGAGCTGGGGGAGAGAGGGGACAAATGGGGGCAGAGAGCAAGGAGAGGTAAGGTGTGAGTATGTAGTATGCAGGTATCCAGATGGGTGATCACATAGCCTCCACATCCTCCCCTCCTCCACAGCAATCCAGCAGCACACCCATTCCACAGCAATCCAGCAGCACACCCATTCCACACATGTGAAAGAAGGGCAGAGACCATGTCAGCTAGATATTCAATGTCTAGCTGAGTGTCAACCAATCACAACAGTGTCGGTAAGCAATTGGTCCACCTGAGTGAAATACGCCTCCAGCACCATATCCAACTCCTCCACATCCCCCCCCCCTCCACAGCAACCCAACCCAGCAGCACACCCACCCACCCGCACACGTCAAACAAGAAAAGACAAAGCACGTGATATCTATATTCACTCACCGCTGTTAAGTCGTTTATAGTTGGCCGACCTGGGTGAAATACGCCTCCAGCACACGTGTAAACAGAGATGTTTTGAAACGTCTCAAAACGCCTCCAGCACACGTGTAAACAGAGATGTTTTGAGACGTCTCAAAACGCCTCCAGCAGCATATCCAAGTCCTCCACGTCCTCCCCTCCTCCCACCAGACAAAGCACAGACAACCCAACCCACACACACGTCAAACAAGGACAGACAAAGCACGTGATATCTATATTCACTCACCGCTGTCAAGTCATTCAGGAGTCGGTCCACTTGCGTGAAATACGCCTCCAAAAGCATCTCCAATTCCTCCACATCCTCCCCTCCTCCCACACTCACCACACTCGAACTCACACTGCTCCCCGACCCCTCCCCCATTCCCCCCCTCGGCGTTCCCCCCATTCCCCCCCATGCGCCTCTGCCAGAGCTGCGGAAGCTTCGGCCGGTGACAGGGAGGAAGGAAAGCGAGTGAGTGAGCGAGTAAGGGAGCGAGTGAGTGAGGGAGTGCGTGAGGGAGTGTGTGGGGGAGTGAGTGAGGGAGCCCCTGTGACTAGAGACGGTAGGGGGAAAGGCAGGCCCAGCAGCAGCGGGCTGGATATGAGGAGAGAGGGAATTGGGAGGAGGAGAAGAAAGGTCAGGTGGAGGGGAATGTGAAGGTGAGCGTGAGAGTGAGTGAGAGGGTGTTGGAGAGTGTGTGGGAGTGTGTGCTGGAAAGTTTGAAGGAGAGTGTGGGGGAGAGTGTGTGGAGGAGTGTTGGGATGAATGTGCAGGAGAGGGAGATTGTGCAGGAGAGAGTGGGTGAGCGCGTGAGGGAGAGTGTGAGGGTGAGTGTGAGGGCGAGTGTGAGGGAGAGTGTGCGGGAGAGGCGGGTAGAGTGAGCCATTGCAGCTGGCGTGTGAGATAGAGATCCGCCATGTCCCTGTCGTCATCGAGTAGATGCTCCAACTCATCCCGCACCTGCACCGAGGCAGAACAAGGAAGGGGGACAATGGGAAGGACAGAGAGAAAGGGTAGAGGGAGCACAAGGGCAGCACAGTGTGAAGGTAGAGGTAAAGGTAATGGTCTGCCATGTCCCGCAGATGCTCCAACTCGTCCCGCGCCTGCAGGAATGAGGGCAGAGGAGGCACAGGGAAAGGGAGGGGAGCAAAATAGTGTAAGAAAGCAGCAACGCAGTGTGGGGTAGAGGTCTGTCATGTCCAGCAGATGCCCCAACTCGTCCCGCGCCTGCAGGAACAGAGCAAGAGGGAAACAGAAGGGAGGGAGAAGAGCAGGTAAGGAAAGGGAACGGGACAGAAGGAGGTAAAGGTCTGCCATGTCCCTGTCTATCGTTGTCTAGTAGATGCTCCAACTCGTCCCGCACCTGTTTAGCTGCCTGCCTCACCCTCTACATCCCTCATCTCACATCCCTGATCTCACATCCCTCATCTCACATCCCTCATCTCACATCCCTCATCTCACATCCCTCATCCCTCATCTCACATCCCTCATCTCACATCCCTCATCTCACATCCCTCATCTCACATCCCTCATCTCACATCCCTCATCTCACATCCCTCATTTGCACACGCCAAGTCAACACAATCAGCCAATTCTTCACCCCCCTCACGGCTTCCAGGCTGGCCGTGCCGAGCTGACAGCCCTGGTGAGCGCGTTCGTTACTAATGTGAATGCCTCACCCTCTGCCTCACCCTCTGCCTCACCCTCTGCCTCACCCTCTGCAGGCGCCAAGTCAGCACGGTCAACCGATTCTTCACCCCTCTCACGGCCTCCAGACCCGCCATGCTGACAGCCCTGGCGAGTGCGTTACAGTGGCAGTGCCTCAATCATCTTAAATTTTGCACACGCGAGGTCAGCACGGTCAACCTATTCTTCACGCCTCTCACCGCCTCCAAACCCGCCGTGCTGACAGCCCTGGCAAGCGCATTCAGCGCCGCATACGCGTCTCTCTCCAGCTCCAGACACCCCCCCTCCAGCTTCCGGCTCACCACTGCTTCTAGAGTGAGCTCCTTGCTTACTGCTTACCCACACTGGCAGTGCCTCTCACCTACCCTTCTGCCTCACCTTCTGCCTGCCTCATCTCACCTTCTGCCTGCCTCATCTTACCTTCTGCCTGCCTCATCTCACCTTCTGCCTGCCTCATCTTACCTTCTGCCTGCCTCATCTTACCTTCTGCCTGCCTCATCTTACCTTCTGCCTGCCTCATCTCACCTTCTGCCTGCCTCATCTCACCTTCTGCCTGCCTCATCTTACCTTCTGCCTGCCTCATCTCACCTTCTGCCTGCCTCATCTTACCTTCTGCCTGCCTCATCTTACCTTCTGCCTGCCTCATCTCACCTTCTGCCTGCCTCATCTTACCTTCTGCCTGCCTCATCTTACCTTCTGCCTGCCTCATCTCACCTTCTGCCTGCCTCATCTCACCTTCTGCCTGCCTCATCTTACCTTCTGCCTGCCTCATCTTACCTTCTGCACACGGGAGGTCAACACAGTCAACCTGTTCTTCACGCCTCTCACGGCCTCCAGGCCTGCCGTGCTCACAGCCTGGGCCAGTGCATTGAGAGCCGCATACGCGTCTCTCTCCAGCTCGCGGCACTCCCCCTCCAGCCTCCTGCTCATTTCCTCCTCTAGAATCTGCTCATCTTTCTATGGTTACTACACCGGCAGTGCCTCACCTACTCTTCTGCCTCCCTATCTCACCTTCTGCACGCGGGAGGTCAGCACTGTCAGCCGGTTCTTCACCCCTCTCACGGCCTCCAGACCCGCCGTGCTGACAGCCCTGGCAAGTGCATTAAGTGCAGCATACGCATCCCTCTCCAGCTCGCGGCACTCCCCCTCCAGCCTCCTGCTCACCACCTCCTCTAGAATCTGCTCCAACACACGGAACTCGAACGGTAAAGGCTCCTCCTCCTCCTCCCCATCCTCCTCGGCTGCTTTTGTATCCTTCTTCTCCTCCTCCTTCTCTTTCTGTTTTTTGCTCTCTTCCTCCTCCTCCTTCTCGCTTTCACTCTCCTCCTTCTCGCTTTCACTCTCCTCCTTCTCGCTTTCACTCTCCTCCTTCTCGCTCTCACTCTCCTCCTTATCTCCGAGCCTTACAACATCTGCTCCCGCTCGTTTTCCTGCTCCTCCTTCCCCTTCCCTTTCTCCTCCTCCATGCTCCCGTCCTCTCCCTCCATCTGCATCTCCTTCTTTTTGTATTTCACCCTGCCCTTGTGTCCCCACATGATCATGTGCATGTGAATGTGCCTGCACCTGTGTCCTATTCCTCTCCCCTCCTTCTATCTGCGATTGTGTCAGCATCGATTCAGGTCCCACAGCGTGCGTCCGTGCCTGTGCCTCATCCCTCCCCACTTCCGCCTCTGCCCGCGTGTGTGATTCCACAAGATCGTGTGTCCGTGCCTGCCCCTGCATCTTCGTCTGCACCTCTGTCTGTGCCGGTTCAGGCCCCATGGCAAGCACTCGTTCCAGGTGGGCGGCAAAGGCGGCAACGGGCGGCGAGGAGGGGTTGAAAAGCAGCACCTGTTGCGCTGACACGATGGCCTTCACATGCTCCAGGTTCACCATCATGCACCCCTCCCTGCCTGTAACCGGGTTACCAGACGGGGCGAGAGAGAGAGGGAGAAAGAGACATGATGGCCTTCACATGCTCCAGGTTCACCATCATGCACCCCTCCCTGCCTGTAACCGGGTAACCAGACGGGGCGAGAGAGAGAGAAATAAAGACTTCGGGTTTCGGGTTTAGGGGAACTAAGTCAACTCAACAGTCGGACCGTGCTAGCGCAAATGGCGCAGACGTTCGGGAACCGGCGCGCGGCTTCGACCTCAGCTGCAGCTGGCCGCGCACGTGCAGATCGCGCGTGGGGAGCGACAGCTGACGTACGTACGTACGCTATAGAGTCAGGCTTAACACAACTCACCGAGAATCGCGGCGGCGGAGGACAGCAACGGGCCGTTTAAGCGGAGATCGCGCGCGGGGACCGACACGCGGCGCATGATGGCCTGCTTCGTGCACTGTAGCAGCTCCGCCTCCCCCCGCATCCCGACAAGCAACACCGCCCATTTCCGCCCCGCCAGGCGCTTCTTCTTCCGCTTCTTTCCCCCTGCCGCCTTCCGCTTCTCGTCGCCTACTACCCCCCCTGCTTTATCGTCGACGATCTTAATCTCCACTAAGTCTCTTGCGTCTTTAGTCTCTCTAGACTCCTCTGCGTCATTCGGCTCCTTTCCGTCATCCCCGGTACTAATCGCATTACCCTCCGCTCCAGTTTCAGCCATCCCCACTTTCTCCGCGAAAAGTCTCGTTTGGGCTCAAACGAAACCGTCAACTGAAAATATACTATAAATGTCTATCTTGGCCTGTCATTACTTGCACACCCCTAGGGAGCGAAACTGCTTGTATGATCATGTGCGGCTCGGCAGGTGGTGCGGTTGGGATAGTCCCCAAAGTAAGTTGAATTCGGCTCAGCAGACGTCTTTTTACATTTAGAATGGTCGGGTATGGTGTTGCTTTGGACTGGACTCGTCTGATCAGTTACTCTAGTTTTCGCCACTTTCGTCAGCAAGGTTGCGATAAGCGAGTGCCCCTATCGAAGTTCGGTGGACTCTAGGTTTGGGATCAAGGCGGATTCGAACTTGTTTGGAAGCGTACAGCTTGGTTCATACATTGGAAAAAACACAAATACGAATACTTGTCAGACGCTTTCAGCACATAATACGACAGACTGAAACGCGGATGCATTCAGATTCAGCTTGGCAAGCGTGAAGCACCAGCATTCAAGCAGAACGCGTTCGGGGCAATCGAGAACTCTCGCTCTCTAGTCCGCTTGAGAGACGAAGGACGGAGTCTACTGTTAGCATCATAGAGACAACGGATTAGAAGTCGGCAGTGTGTAGTTCTTTGTACCGCCGGTAGGAAGCAGGGTTCCGTAAGGAGCGGAAGAGTGTGTGTGAGAGAGAGCGAGAGTGAGGTGCATTTCAGTGAGTGTGTGTGACATCGAGGTGAGAAAACGAGAGATTGCGAGTGAGTGAGTGAGTAAGCGAGAGAGAGTGAGTGAGAGAGTGAGGGTGCGGGCAACATGTCGATGACGGTACAGGAGTATCTCGATCGCCACAAGCTGTCGCTGCGGATAGAGGAGGCCGTCAATGCGGCCGTGCGGGCGAAAACCGACGAACCAATCGCATTCATAGTAAGTTTACCTGGTAGGCTCCGTTATAAGCTGCCTCGTCCGTGTTGCGGTTACAAAGCGGCTGTCGCTGCGGATAGAGGAGGGTCAATGCGGCCGTGCGGGCGAAAACGGACGAACCAATCGCACTCATCGAAAGTCTACCAGGTATTTCTCATTATAAACTGACTCATTAATGCTCACAGGCTGTCGCTGCGCATAGAAGAGGCGGTCAATGCGGCCGTACGAGCTACAACGGACGAAACGCATTCATTGTAGGCTCGCTCGTTAACACTCGTTGTAAGCTCAACCGTTACCACTCGTTACAAGCTGACGCGTTTGTGTCAGTTTCTATACTACGCACGGTGGAGGCGGAGGTGGGCTCTCACAGGGGCAAGTTCCGCGGCGTGTGAGAGTCACATTTGGCACACCTACCCCCTTCCCTTCCCTTGCCGTCTTTCATCCCCTCCCAGGCTCGTCATCTACAGCGCGCAGCCCCATCAGTCATTCTAACTGTCAAGGGGCGCATGGTGCTGGACGCACGGGGGGAGCCGACAGTGGAGGAGGAGATTGGCTCTCACAGGAACCACACACCCCCATCCATGTCCCCCACTATGTTCCTTTATCTTCCCCAGGCGCGGCACTTGCAGTGCGCAGCCCCGTCAGTGATTCTGACTGTTAAGGGGCGCATGGTGCTGGATGCGCGGGGGGAGCCCACGGTGGAGGCGGAGGTGGGCGGATCAGGATTCAAACACAAGCCGCTTCGCCTTCACTTATGATTCCCCTATCCCATCGTTCTTCCCCAGGCGCGCCATCTGCAGCGCGCAGCCCCGTCGGTGATTCTGAGCGTCAAGGGGCGCATGGTGCTGGATGCGAGAGGGGAGCCCACAGTGGAGGCGGAGGTGGGCTCACACAGGGGCAAGTTCCGCGCCTCTGTTCCCACCGGCGTTACATCTGGCATGTGAGCGTTGCATCTGGAAGTGCGAGTTACAATTGGCATGTGAGGGCGTTACATCTGGATGTGAGGGTTACATACATGTGGTGGCACAAGTGGCATGGGAGAGTTACAAGTGGCATGGTTTTGAGATTCTCTCAGAAACCAACAAGGAACCAACTGGTCTGGTCCAAGATGGAACACACACACAGATCCCTACTGCAATTGAGCCGCCCTCAGAGAAGTTAGCCACAACCCACACCCGATCCGACCCGACCCGATCCGATCCGACCCGACCCGAACCGACCCGACCCGACCTGACTTGAACCAACTTGACCCGACCCAACCCGACTCGACTTGAACCGACCTGAGTTGACCCGGCCCGACCCGACCCGACTTGACCCAACCCGTCCGATCCAACCCGACCCGATCCGACCCGACTTACCCGACCCTCCCTGACCCGGCTTGACCCGACCCGACCCGATCCAACCTGACCCGGCCCAAACTAACCCTACTATCCCAACCGAGCCGGCCGACCCGACCAGACCTGTGCCTACTCGACCCGACCAGACTTTACCCAACCTCACCCAACAACCCTTTCCGACCCAACCCGGCCGACCCAGCTTGACCCGACCAAACCCGACCCGACCCGATTTGAACCGAACCGAATTGACCCAACCCGACCCGACCCTACTTGACCCGACCCGATCCGACCCGACCTGACCCGACCCGACTTTACCCGACCCGATCCGACCCGACCTGACCCGACCCGACTTTACCCGACCTGACCCAACCCGACCGACCCAACTTGACCCGACCCCACCCGACCCGACCCAGCTTGACCCCGATCCAACTCGACCCGACCCGACTCGATTGGACCCAACCCTACCAGACTTGACCCGACCCTACCTGACCCGAGTCGACTCGATCCGACCAGACCCGACCTGAGCGGGTTTGGGAATGTGAGCGAGGGGATTGCAGCATGTCACGCCCTTACCACCCTTCTCCCTTTATTCCCACCCCATCCTCTCCCATGTCTCCTTCTCTGCCCAGTCGCAGATTCGAAGCGGTTAAGATGTGGGATGGAGAGGACGGAGGATTCTTTCGAAAGGGGCGTGCAGAAGGCGCTTGGATTGTGAAGAATACGATTGCAGCACCACCTCCCACTCCCCCCAATCCGTTGTTCTCTTTCCACCTCTCTCCCTTGCCCCATTCCCATTCAGCTATGAAGCAGTCGAGGTGCGGAATGGGAACGGGAAGGAGTGCTTTGGAAGGGGCTTGCAGAGGGCGGTGGGGAATGTGAGCGACGCGTTTGCAGCATGTCACTCCCTTAGCTACCACCCTTTTCTCTCCTCCGCACCCTCTCTCCCACCCCTCTCCCATTCCCGTTCAGCTATGAAGCAGTGGAAGTGAGGGATGGGGACGAGGGGGAATTCTTCGGGAGGGGCGTGCAGCGGGCGGTGGGGAATGTGAGTGAGGTGATTGCAGCAGCGGTGGTGGGGAGGGACCCGCGCGAGCAGGGCGAGATTGACCGGCTTATGGCGGCCGAGCTTGATCAGACAGACAACAAGGTGGGTGGGGGGACGCGGTGACAAGGGTTTGGACTCATGGGCAATATTGGTGGGCAGCAGCGGTGGTGGGGAGGGACCCTCGCGAGCAAGGGGAGATTGACCGGCTTATGGCGGCTGAACTGGACCAGACTGACAACAAGGTGTGTGGGGGATTGGGGAGTGGGGGGAGGAAGAGGGGGAGTGGAGGGGGCAGGGGGGACGAGGAGCGACCCTCTTGAGCAGGGCGAGATTGACTGGCTGATGGCGGCTGAGATTGATCAGACAGATAACAAGGTGGGCGAGAGGGGCAGAGAGGGCCATGGGTGGGAATGGGGCTGAAAAGGGGAGATCGATAGGCTCATGGCAGCAAGGGCAGTGACGGCAGGCAGGCAGCGGTGGTGGGGAGGAACCCTCGCGAGCAGGGGGGATTGACCGGCTGATAGCGGCTGGGCTTGATCAGACCGACAACAAGGTGGGTGGTGGAAAGGATGGGGGGGTTGGGGGGGGGAAGGGATGGGGGAATGGGGCTGAAAAGGGATACTCATGAGTCAAGTGCAGTAACGGCGTGCAGCAGCGGTGGTGGGGAGTTAGGCTGATGGCGGCTGAATTGGACCAGACTGACAAGAAGGTGGGTGGGAGTTAAGGGGAAAAGAAGGGGGGAAAGGGGGGAAAGGGGGGAAAGGGGGGAAAGGGGGGAAAACAGGGAAAACAGGGGGGAAAGGGGGGAAAGGGGGGAAAGGGGGGAAAGGGGGGAAAACAGGGAAAACAGGGAAAACAGGGGGGAAAGGGGGGAAAGGGGGGAAAGGGGGGAAAGGGGGGGAAACAGGGAAAACAGGGGGGAAAGGGGGGAAAACAGGGGGGAAAGGGGGGAAAGGGGGGAAAACAGGGGGGAAAGGGGGGAAAACAGGGGGGAAAACAGGGAAAACAGGGGGGAAAGGGGGGAAAACAGGGGGGAAAACAGGGAAAACAGGGGGGAAAGGGGGGAAAACAGGGGGGAAAGGGGGGAAAGGGGGGAAAGGGGGGAAAACAGGGGGGAAAGGGGGGAAAGGGGGGAAAACAGGGGGGAGAGAAAGGACACTCACGAGAAGGGCGAGATTGACCGGCTAATGGCGGCCGAGCTTGATCAGACTGACAACAAGGCGGATGGTGGGTTGTGATGTATTAGTGCGCTGTGAGAGAGGGAGGCTTGCAATGCAAGCAGGGCGAGATCGACAGGTTGATGCCGGCTGAACAATACCAGCTAGACACAGACAACAAGGTGGGTGGGTGGGGATGAGCTAGGCGCCAATGCCTTTGGTCCCATCGTCCCATCCCCTCCTCACGCCACTGCCTTTGGTCCCATCGTTCCATCCCCTCCTCACGCCACTGCCTTTGGTCCCATCGTCCCATCCCCTCCTCACGCCACTGCCTTTGGTCCCATCGTCCCATCCCCTCCTCACGCCACTGCCTTTGGTCCCATCGTCCCATCCCCTCCTCACGCCACTGCCTTTGGTCCCATCGTCCCATCCCCTCCTCACGCCACTGCCTTTGGTCCCATCGTCCCATCCCCTCCTCACGCCACTGCCTTTGGTCCCATCGTCCCATCCCCTCCTCACGCCACTGCCTTTGGTCCCATCGTCCCATCCCCTCCTCACGCCACTGCCTTTGGTCCCATCGTCCCATCCCCTCCTCACGCCACTGCCTTTGGTCCCATCGTCCCATCCCCTCCTCACGCCACTGCCTTTGGTCCCATCGTTCCATCCCCTCCTCACGCCACTGCCTTTGGTCCCATCGTCCCATCCCCTCCTCACGCCACTGCCTTTGGTCCCATCGTCCCATCCCCTCCTCACGCCACTGCCTTTGGTCCCATCGTCCCATCCCCTCCTCACGCCACTGCCTTTGGTCCCATCGTCCCATCCCCTCCTCACGCCACTGCCTTTGGTCCCATCGTCCCATCCCCTCCTCACGCCACTGCCTTTGGTCCCATCGTCCCATCCCCTCCTCACGCCACTGCCTTTGGTCCCATCGTCCCATCCCCTCCTCACGCCACTGCCTTTGGTCCCATCGTCCCATCCCCTCCTCACGCCACTGCCTTTGGTCCCATCGTCCCATCCCCTCCTCTCTCACTCGCTCCTTGCAACCCCTTCATCCTCTCATCCCCCTCCCACGCCCCTTTTGTCCCCTCGTCTGTCTCCCCACCATACCTCTTCGTTTCCCCATTCCCTCTGGGCGAGCTAGGCGCTATCGCCATTCTCGCCGTGTCTCCTTCACTCACACGCCCCCCTCTTCTCTCCTTTCTCTCATTCGCCTCCCTGTCTCCCCCTTGCTTTCAGGGCGAGCTTGGTGCCAATGCTATTCTCGCCGTGTCTCTGGCGGTGTGCCGGGCAGGCGCGGCAGAGAGAGAGGTGAGGGTGTGTGTGAGTGGGTGTGAGTGGGTGTGAGTGGGTGGCGGCATGGGGCTGCTTAGGAAGAGTTGGAGCGTCAGAGGGAAACAAGGGTGCGTCTCCACAGTGTGCCAGGCAGGCGTGGCTGAGCGAGAGGTGCGAGTGGGTGTGCGTGAGAGAGGGGGTAAGGGGGGGTTTGGTGGAAATTTGAAGCAACAGGAAGACTCAGGGTGTGTCTTTGACAGTGTGCTGAGCAGGCGCAGCAGAGAGAGAGGTGAGTGTGGCTGAGTGGGTGTTGCAGAGACGGCAGATGGAGTGATGAGAGTGCACATGTGATTAATTATGTGCGCCTGTGTGTGAGTGCGTGCGTGCGTGCGTCTCACAGGGATGCATAGTATTCCCCCTGTGTCATACCACCAAGTTTGGCACCATTTTCCTCCCCCAACCCCTCAACTGCAGCTGCCACTGCACGAGTACATCGCCTCGCTTGCAGGAGTTTGACCTCTCACGCCCGCCCTCCCTCCCGCTCCTCCTTCACTCCTCCCAACCACCTTCCCTGGTCATCTCGCAGCGCCCACTGCACAAGTACATCGCCTCGCTTCGCTGGCAGGAGTTTGACCTCTCATGCCCGCCCTCCCCTATTCCCTCCCGCTCCTCCTGCGTTCCTCCCCCCCACCTTCCCTGTTCATCTCGCAGATGCCACTGCACGAGTACATCGCCTCGCTTGCAGCGGTCCTTCTCCCCTCTCTTCCCGTGCCTGAGTTCGCCTCTCATTCACTTGCTGCCAACCCCCACCCATCTCTCCCACTCCATGCCCCTCTCATGCCTCTCACCACAATCGCAGCGCCCACTGCATGCATGAGTACATCGCCTTGCTGGCAGCGGTCCCCACCCCTCTCTCCCCGTACCCGATTCGCCCTCCTCTCTTCTCATTCACTTGCTGCCATCCCCCATCCTCCCTCCCTCATCTGCTGCCCCTTCTCTTGCCTCCAACCACACCACAACCGCAGCTTCCACTGCACGAGTACATCGCCTCTCTTGCTGAAGTTTTAAACTCTCACGCCTTCCTCTTTCCCCTCCCCCTCCCCTCTTCACTAATCCTCCCCACCCTCCCCTGTTCGTATCGCAGCTTCCATTCCACGAGTACATCGCATCGCTCGCAGCGGTGCCCCACCCATCTCTCCCCGTGCCTGAGTTCGCCCTTCTCTCCTCTCCGTCACGTGCTGCCCCTCTGTCGTCTCTGACCTCTGTTCTCTTTTTCCCCGCACATGATCGCAGCTTCCACTGCACGAGTACATTGCCTCGCTGGGAGAATCTCGACCTCTCGCGCCCTCCTCTTTTCCCTCTCCCTCCCTCCTTCACTCTTACATTCCATCCACCTGCCCTGTTCGTATCGCAGCTTCCACTGCACGAGTACATCTCATTGCTCGCAGCGGTGCCCCACCCTTCTCTCCCCGTGCCCAAATTCGCCCTCCTCTCATTCACTTGCTGCCATGCCCCACCCATCTCTCCCACCTCTCCTGCTCTTCTGTTGTCTCTGACCTCTGGTCACTTACCCCCCTGTTCGCAGCTGTCACTCCACGAGTACATCGCCTCCCTGGCAGCGCTGCCCCACCCTTCTCTCCCCGTGCCTGAGTTCGCCCTCCTCTCGGGCGCCCTCACGCCCTCCTCTGCCGCCTCGCCCCCGTTCCATGTGAGTCTGAGTGCTTGCGAGTGAATGGGTGTGTGAAATGGTGACATCTGCACCAGTGCCAGCGAGTGAATGAGTGTGTGAAATGATATGGTCTGGTAGAAGAGTACAGAAACCATCAAGGCTTTAAGGCTTTCAGTGAGAGCCGAATTGGTGCCAGCAAGTGGGTGAGTGAGAGGATTATATCAATGTGAGCGCTGTCATGTGAGCGCTGTCATGTGAGCGCTGTCATGTGAGCGCTGTCATGTGAGCGCTGTCATGTGAGCGCTGTCATGTGAGCGCTGTCATGTGAGCGCTGTCATGTGAGCGCTGTCATGTGAGCGCTGTCATGTGAGCGCTGTCATGTGAGCGCTGTCATGTGAGCGCTGTCATGTGAGCGCTGTCATGTGAGCGCTGTCATGTGAGCGCTGTCATGTGAGCGCTGTCATGTGAGCGCTGTCATGTGAGCGCTGTCATGTGAGCGCTGTCATGTGAGCGCTGTCATGTGAGCGCTGTCATGTGAGCGCTGTCATGTGATTTTTAACCCCCACAGTCCCTCTCCTCCCTTTTCTGTCCTTCAAGACCATATCTCCCCTCCCTTCCCTTCTCTCAGCAGTCCCTCTCCTCCCTTTTCTTTCCTTCAAGCCCCTATCTCCCCTTCCCTTCTCTCAGCAGTCCCTCTCCCTCCCTCCTGCTAGTCGCATCCACATTTTCTGAGGCTGTCTTGTCCACTCCACAACAGGCATCCAGTGCAGCATTATCACCCACTGCAGCTGTTCAGTGCATTGGGGGTGTCATGATATCATCTTTATCACTCCTTCCCACCATCCCCGATTCATTCCCTCCATGCCCAACCCCATCCGCACCCCCCCCTCAGTCACTCTCCATTCTGCCAGTGGGAGCATCCACATTTGCAGAGGCTGTGCGGATTGGAGCAGAGGTGCAGCACTGCTTGCAGGTGCATTGGAGGGGAGAGGAGGGGGGTGTGGGGGCTGGGGGGGTGAATGGGGAAGGGAAGAATGCGGAGTATGTCGAGCTGTTGATGGGAGAAAGGGGTCATTGGGGACTGAAAGGGGTCATTGGGGACTGAAAGGGGTCATTGGGGACTGAAAGGGGTCATTGGGGACTGAAAGGGGTCATTGGGAACTGAAAGGGGTCATTGGGGACTGAAAGGGGTCATTGGGGACTGAAAGGGGTCATTGGGGACTGAAAGGGGTCATTGGGGACTGAAAGGGGTCATTGGGGACTGAAAGGGGTCATTGGGGACTGAAAGGGGTCATTGGGGGACTGAAAGGGGTCATTGGGGACTGAAAGGGGTCATTGGGGACTGAAAGGGGTCATTGGGGACTGAAAGGGGTCATTGGGGACTGAAAGGGGTCATTGGGGACTGAAAGGGGTCATTGGGGACTGAAAGGGGTCATTGGGGACTGAAAGGGGTCATTGGGGACTGAAAGGGGTCATTGGGGACTGAAAGGGGTCATTGGGGACTGAAAGGGGTCATTGGGGACTGAAAGGGGTCATTGGGGACTGAAAGGGGTCATTGGGGACTGAAAGGGGTCATTGGGGACTGAAAGGGGTCATTGGGGACTGAAAGGGGTCATTGGGGACTGAAAGGGGTCATTGGGGACTGAAAGGGGTCATTGGGGACTGAAAGGGGTCATTGGGGACTGAAAGGGGTCATTGGGGACTGAAAGGGGTCATTGGGGACTGAAAGGGGTCATTGGGGACTGAAAGGGGTCATTGGGGACTGAAAGGGGTCATTGGGGACTGAAAGGGGTCATTGGGGACTGAAAGGGGTCATTGGGGACTGAAAGGGGTCATTGGGGACTGAAAGGGGTCATTGGGGACTGAAAGGGGTCATTGGGGACTGAAAGGGGTCATTGGGGACTGAAAGGGGTCATTGGGGACTGAAAGGGGTCATTGGGGACCATGAGTCAGTAGCAGCACTGTAGGCTTCCCGTCACCGTCAGACCTATAGCTGGGTGTTTACATTAACTCTCACATCACATACAGTACAACCATATAAATGTATAACACAAAGGTCCATCACATCACATCACATCACATCACATCGCTCCATCGAATTCCATCCCAATGCACCCCTTTCTACCCCTCTCCACCGCATTCAACCGCATTCCCCGCCAGGCACTTGCAGCAGAACGGTTTGGAGCAGCAGCAGCAGCGCTGGTGACTGACGATGGCAGCTTGGGTCTGCCGCTCACAAGGTGGGCCTCTCTGACTGGTTACATACACAACACAACATAGGTACGTTATAGAAGAAGTAATTTGAGACGTCTCAAAATACAACTTCTATCGCTTGGGTCTGCCGCTCACAAGGTGGGCCTCTCTGACTGGTTACATACACAACACAACATAGGTACGTTATAGAAGAAGTATTTTGAGACGTCTCAAAATACAACTTCTATCGCTTGGGTCTGCCGCTCACAAGGTGGGCCTCTCTGACTGGTTACATGCACAACACAACATAGGTACGTTATAGAAGAAGTATTTTGAGACGTCTCAAAATACAACTTCTATCGCTTGGGTCTGCCGCTCACAAGGTGGGCCTCTCTGACTGGTTACATACACAACACAACATAGGTACGTTATAGAAGAAGTATTTTGAGACGTCTCAAAATACAACTTCTATCGCTTGGGTCTGCCGCTCACAAGGTGGGCCTCTCTGACTGGTTACATACACAACACAACATAGGTGGGTGGGTGGGGCGTCCACTCTGGTGGTGATTGTTAGAAACTCAAGTGCTGATCTCATCAAGGAAAACGACTATACATAAGAGATGAACTTGAGGGGAACTTGGTGAAGTAACCTAGGCATTATTGTTGGACCAATGTGAATGGTCACCGAGTAATGCTTTGGGCTGAGCGTAAATTTTTGGAGGGGGACGAATAATGGTTGGGATGAGCCAAGCAAGTTGGTTCCCGCCCCTGTCAATTGCACCCAACCCAAATTGGTTAGGGCGACTTTGCCCAACCAAATTGTACACCCAGATTTGGGTGTTACACTTGCACGATCATAACAAAGTTATGCTATTTGCACGATCATAACACAGTGATACCACAGGTTGAGAAATGAGTTGTGCTGCCTTGCCTTCCTTCCTCCTCCCATGCCCGTTCCCTTCACCCCCTGGTATTCTGCCCATCCAGCATCCTAAGTTCTTTTCCCCTCCCATCATCCTACCCCTCTGCCAGCATATGCCAAGCAGCTTCTCCAGCAACTGACGTTTCCCCATCACACCCCATCACACCCCATCCGATATCCTTTAACCCCTATGTTTTCCCTCTCCCCCGCCTCCCCCCTCCACCGTTTCTCCACCTCCCCTCCTTCCCGACCCCTTCCTCCTTCCCCATCCACAACCCCAATCTTCACCCTTTTTCATTCGTCCTTACCTCCCCTTTTTTCCCTCCACCTCCCCTTCCCCTCTCTCCTCCTCCCCTTCCCATCTCTCCTCCTCCCATTCCCCTCTCTTTTCACACACACCCCACTCCTCCCCCATCTTAAACGCATACGGGACTTTTTTTTTTTTGGCGTTTCCCCATCCCAATCCCCTATGTCTCATGCGAGTTTTGAGGCGCCTTAAAACTCGCCTCAATACAATGTGAAACTTATGCGCCTCCCCATCTGATCCCCTGTGTTTCACCTTTCTTCCCACGTCCTTACCATCCCAACCTTCCCCACCACCTTCTCTTTCTCCCTTCCTACCGCTCCCCCCCCCCCCCCTCCTCCCCCAAACGCCAGCATAAGAGACGGTTTGCAGCTGCTGACGTCAGCAGTGGCAAATGCAGGGCATGCAGAGAAAGTGAAGATCAGCATTCACGCAGCGTTGGGTGGGCGTGTGACAGGTTAGTTGGTGTAAGGGGGAGGAGAGGTGGGTACACAGCAAATGTGGGACTCAAAAGTCAACTCGCTACTGTTGGAAGCCTGGGAGGATGTGCACAATGAGAAAGTGAAGATCAGCATTCATGCAGCATTGGGGGGCGTGTGACAGGTGATTGTAAAGGGGGGTTGAGTGGGCACACAGAGATATCGATACGTGATTGTAAGGGGTGGCTGAGTGGGCACACAGAGAAATTGGCACGTGATTGTAACAGGGGGTTGAGTCGGCACGCAGAGAAAGTGAACATTGCTTATGTGCTGTGTTGTGACGGTGTTTGTCGGGTGCTTGTAACTCGGTTTCGGGTGGGACGGGAGGAGAAGAGGGGGGGAGATGAGTGTGATTGATAGGGGAGCGTGTGACCTACGGTGGTTGGGGGAGTGTATGTGATTTAAGATGGGGTGAAATGGTACAGGTGATTATTGTGGAAAAGTCTCTTATCCCTCTACAAGTCTACCAACCATCCATCGGCCTCAGCGTGTGCGCATCTGCAGCCTTCATATATATATATATATATATATATATATATATATATATATGTATATATATACATACATATATACATACATATGAAAACCAAAATTTATTTATTATATCCTCCACATCCCACCACACATACAGACGAAGGTCACTATGACCTGGGAATCCAGCAGCAGCAGCAGCAGCAGCAGCAGCAGCAGCATCATCATCCCCCCATGCACGTTCCCCCCATCCTCCCCCAACCACAGACGAAGGTCACTATGACCTGGGCATCCAGCAGCAGCAGCAGCAGCAGCTGGATGGCAGCGGTGACATCAGCATGACATCAGCCAACAACAGCAGCAGCAGTTTGGAGCAAGTGACCGTCCAGCAGCTCATAGACGTGTACCAGCAGCTGTGCTCAGGTGAATTTCCAACTGTTCTCAGGTGTACCAGCAGCTGTGCTCAGGTGAATTTCCAACTGTTCTCAGGTGTATCAGCAGCTGTGCTCAGGTGTGGTGAACCATCCTGCTGAGCGAGTTCCTTATAGCGAGTGAGCCAGCATAGCAGCACTTCTATGTTCAGATTGACATCCCCAGTATTCCCAAGCCATAAGTTCACATACGCGTCTAGTTTATACTGTAATGACTCAGTGCAGTCCCTGTGTTCAGTTCAGGCTGACAGCTCCGCTTCTTCTTTCGGACCTCACCTCATTCCCGCTCTGTTCCTTTCCACCCGATTGCCCATCCTCGTTACAGAGTTCCCCATTGTGAGCATAGAGGACCCGTTTGACCAGGAAGACTTTGACGCCACTCAAGCCCTCTCAGAGGCTGGGTTCACCCAGGCAAGTCCCTGTGCTCCTGCTCTCGCTTGAGGTGATTTCAAGTCGACTCAAAAGTCACCTCCACTTCCTTTGGAAGTAGCTGACTTCACCCAGGCAAGTTCCTCATGACACTCACTCAAGCTCTCTCAGGGGTTGGCTTCACCCCAGTGCGTACCTGTGCTCTTGCTTTCGCACATGCCTTCATACATACACTCACTCATGCCCCCACACATGCCCGCACACATGCCCTCACTCATGCCCTCACACGTGCCCTCACTCATGCCCTCACTCATGCTCTCACTCATGCTCTCACTCATGCTCTTTCGCATGCTCACTCCGTCACTCATGCCCTAATATTGTGCTTCCCCTCATCCTCTCGCCACTAACTTTTCCCTTTATCTCGCAATATCTTCTCCTGTTCGCCACCAATCTTCTTGCTAATGTTTTCCTCCGCACTCCACCGCATGTCACCACATTGCGCCGCCTCCCGCCGCATTGCACCACAACACACCGCATGACTTGCAGGTGGTGGGCAACGACCTGTTGGTCTCAAATGCCAAGCGACTGGAGCAAGCCATTGAGAGACGCACATGCAGTGGCATCGCCATCAAGGTGAGTGAGTGGTACCGCATTGCACCACATTGCACCACATTGCGCCGTATTACACCATATCACATATTGGGCAACGACCTGCTGGTCTCGAATGCCAAGTGACTGGTTCAAGCCATTGAGAGGCGCACGTGCAGTGGCATTGCAATTAAGGTGAGTGGTACCGCATTGCACCGCTCTGCATCATGTGCAGTGGCATCACCATCAACGTGAGTGGTACCTAATTGCTCCGCACTCCGATACATGCGGTAGCATTGCAGTCAAGGTGGGAGGGAGATCCCTCATTGTACCGCATTGCATCCTTGAAACCAACGTTACAGTTTCTACTTCTCTCTGCACCACTCTTCTCCCCCATTCTCACCAGGCCCCCCTGATCGGCACTCTCTCAGAAGCCCTAGAGGTGGCCAAGGCAGCGAGAGCAGGTGAATCCAATATCGCTGCTCTCTCTTCTCTCTTCCCGCTCTTCTCCCCTCCTCTTCTCACCCCCACTTCTCCCTGCCAGCTCCCCTTGATCGGCACCCTTTCAGAGGCTCTAGAGGTGGCCAAGGCAGCGAGGGCAGCGGGGTGGGCAGTGGTGGTGGCAGGTGGGGTGGGACGGCAGGGGGACACGGAGGACTGCATGCTTGCTGACGTGGCAGTGGGCATGGGGGCCCAGCGAATCAAGGCTGGGGGTGTGTGTCGGGGCGAGCAATGCTCCAAGTATAATCAGGTGATTCCTGACGCGGGCTGGTTCATAAAGGCTGCTATATTAGGTTGCCTGGTTGTAAGCTCTTCACGTTTTCGTGCGTCATGGTTCTTACCGTATATGCTATCTGATGGTTCTCTGGCCGATGTCTGTTGTGTTTGATGGCTGCAGCTTTTACGGATTGAGGAAGAGCTTGGAAGCAAGGCGACTTATGGAGCAGGAACAGCAAATGTGATTCCACCAAGCAAATGAGCACTAGCAAAAGTAGGTACGGTATTGTTTCTTTGGAGTAGTTGTTATTGTTGGGCTGAGACGCCCTAGGATCTTTGTAGAGTTAAAGTCTGAGTAAAATGATGTAATAGCGGAAGCGTTTGAATAAAGTCCTTGAACCACCTTGCGCTAGTATGTGAGGGCAAAGTAAGTTGATTAAAGCAAAGAGATACAGGAATATAGATATGAGTACAGAGAATATGCAGAGATATAATTGTAACTGTTTTACTGTTGCGGTTTGATATAGTGCGACTCGGACAACTGCTCAATGTCGAGTCATTTGTGTGTCCTTGCTGTCGCGCTGCGTCAGGTCAAAGGTCGCTGACCTTTGACTTTCTCGTAACCTCCAGCAGTTACGTTAACCTCCGAGGGTTGACTCGCGGTGCTTTGATTTGAGCTGCTTCGCTTGTGTCTTGAGTTTCGACACGACAGAGGCGCTTAAGACTATTTGTTCCCAACACTCCCCTTCGCTTCTGGAGTGTCGCTGATGGTGACGTGGCTTTGTCCAGTCAGCAGCATGCACTACTCGAACTTCTGTTTTCCGAGCTTCTTGGTCAAGTAGTCAGCTGCCATCTCAGACGTGGGACAGTAGGATACCGTCATACCCCGGATATAAGCGCCACCCTCGGATAAGCGCCTGGCGCTTTTAATTGGCGTGTGGCGCTTATATCCCTTGCTCGATTATAAGCGCACCCCCTGAAAAAACTTGTTTTATTATAAGCGCACGTACTTTTTTTTTTGAAATGTGTTCAAACGCTTTAACGATTTCTACTTTAGCAGGCAGATGTTTTGTAGATTCGGTTCCCTTCACATTCTGACCCTGCACTGGATTCGGGTCCAGTCAGCAGGAGCTGTCATGAGCTGTCAGGAGCTGGATGTGAGTCAGATTGGGTGTACCTCCCTGCGCGCGCGAGAATTTCACAGACGACCCCATGTAACTTCGTCTCGATTGAAAAGGCAAGCACGAGATCTACAGTATGGTGTTCAGAAATATATAAGAACATATATGTCATTTTATAAACGCCGGCGCTTATAAATTTACTCGATTATAAGCCCACCCCCCTAAAAAAACCTGCTTTATTATTGCCCCCCATGGGGGTATATCCGGGGTATGACGGTAGTTTGAGTTTCCCTTTCTCGATCTCGTCTTTCACGAAGAAATATCGCAGGGCGATATGCTTCGTTCTGTTCGCGAATCTGCTCTTGTTGGCGATGCGAATCGCAGATTGGTTGTCGTAGAACAGAGTGAAGTTGGGTAACTCGGCTAACTTCGCTTCTTCCAGCAGCTCGCGAAGATGGAGTCCTTCCTTGGTGGCTGAGCGGAGTGCGATATATTCTGCTTCAGCTGAGGAGAGAGCGATTAGTTCCTGCTTGCTCGATTGCCAGGAGATAGGTCCGATAGGTTCGAGGCGGTAGATGTAGCCAGTGCGGGAGCGTCTGTTGTCTGAATCGCCGGCGTGATCGGCATCGACGTAGCCGATTAGTTTCGTCGGTGTAGTTTTACTCTTGTAGTATGTCAGGCCGATCGTCGAGGTGCTCACGAAGTAGTGGAGAGCGCGGTCGAGTTCCGCCAGGCGTTCTGTTTCGGGCCTTCTGAGATAGGTAGCAAGTTGACTTGCGGAGTAGGACAGATATGGGCGGCAGGTGACAGCTGCGAAGAGAAGGCAGCCCAGCTTCCTCTGATAGTCGCGTATTCCGGCGGTTTTGAGTAGAGCGGAACTTCCCTTGTCGTTCCCTGCCGTGTAGCGGTATGGCGTGGAGATAGTAGTAGGTGTGAGCGCGAAGCGTTTGGCGATAGTGTCGGCATACTTTTCAGCGTTGAGGTAGATCGCGTTCTCTTCTTCGCGGATGTTGAGTCCGGGGTACTGAGTGACGGTAGAGGAGACCGTGAGTGTGAGGTCCCTCTGCAGCTCCCCTTCGAACCAGGTGGTGATGTCGTCAGTGGAGCCAATGTAGAGTAGGTCGTCGACGTAGACGATCAGCAGGATATAGTCGGCGTTTTTTGTGAGTCGATACATCCCTTGGTCGTGAGGCAGTTGGCGGAATCCGATGCGAGTGAGGCGAGTGTGTAGGTGCTGTTGCCACAGCCGCGGGGCTTGTTTGATACCGTAGAGCGATTTCAGTAGCTGGCAAACTTGGTTAGGTTCCCCGTGGGTATCGTGTGGGAGCTCGACCAAGATTTCGGCGTCGACGGGTGCGTAGAGGAACGCGTTGGCGACATCGATTTGTCGCAGTTTCTTCTTCTTCATAGCGGCGATAGCGAGAAGAATTCGGAGTGAGGTATGTCGGCTGACCGGGGTGAATGTCTCGGTGAAGTCCCGTCCGTGTTCCAGGTCGAATCCACGCACGACCCAGCGTGCTTTGAATTTCTCGATTGTGCCGTCTGCCTTTGTTTTAATGCGGAAGACCCATTTCCCGGTGAGGATGGTCTTGTTCCTTGCCACGCTTACGGGAACGGCTTTCCAGGTGTTGCGTTCCTCCAGTGCCTTTAACTCTCTGTCCATGGCTTCACGCCATTTCTCCCTGTGTTCCCCCCCCAGAGCCTGCTGAACTGTCGCAGGCTCTTTAGGAAGAGCTTTGCCGTGGACTGTGGTGACGAGGCCGAGTATCTGCAGTCTAGTCTGTGAGTAGCGGGGGAGTGTTGTGTCCTCGGGATAAGCTGCTTCATCTCCCGCTTCTGGGTCGGGTATGAAATTCGGCCCTATCCTTTCTGCTTCGTTGGTGTTGACTGTCGCAGGTGTTACGTAACCATTGTCGGCGAAGTGGTAGAAGACTTCGGCGTTGGCGCTTTCGCGAGGATTTTCTTCGTCCATGGGGACGTTGATGGAGCAGAACGGGAGAGGTCCGGCTTCTTCTGATGCGTTGTCGACGTTCTGCTCGTCCCAGTCTTCTTCGTCCGCTGCTGAGGCGAAGGCTCGGTCACCACGAAAGCCACCTGTGGGGTCCTGATTTTCGTGCAAGTTGGCGAGGTACGTCTAAAGCGTGAGTCGTTCGTAGAAGATCACGTCACGTGCTGCTACTGTTTCCTTGGAGTGGACGTCGAAGATTTTCCACGCGTTGTAATTCTTTTCGATGCCGGGGTGTAGTCCCCATTGTGCGCGTTGTGAAAATCTTCCCGCTCGTGCCTCTGGGGGTCGGTACTGTACCATGCACCCGAAAACTCGTAACATTTTTGTGCTGCCCTGTTTCCCTGTCCACAGCAGATGCGGTGATGCGTTGTTCGGAAGTGAGGACGACGACATCAAGTTGTGCAGCATGACAGCATGGTCCATTGCTGCAGGCCACTGGTGGTTGGGTAGCCGCATGCCACGTAGCAGTTTGCGCATGCTATTCTGCAGAGTCCTGTTCATTCTTTCTGCGACACCTTGCTGCTGATGGGCGTAGGGAAGGGAGAGAAGCTGCTTGATTCCTCTTTCCGCCAGGTACTGCTTGAATCGCTGAGAGGTGTATTCTCCTCCTCTGTCTGACTGGAAGCTTTTCAGCTGTGTTCCCGACTCTCTCTCTGCTACTGGTAGCCAGGCGGCGAACGCTGCGAGTGCCATGTCACGGCTGGGTAGGTTTAGGTGCCAGACTTATCTTGTGGCAGCATCGATGAAGGTTATCGTATAGTTGTAAGTAACTTGTCCTGGTTCTCGATTGAATAGAATGTCGCTGTACACCTTCTCGAGTGGTGCGTATGCGGGTGCGCTCGAATTGTGGTGAGAAGTAAACGGTCGATGTGGTAAGTCGGCTTCGGGGCAGGTGAGGCAAGTTCCTCGTGCCCGTTAAAGTTCTCTGCCGTCGGGTAGTAGTAATGAATCCTTGTCTAGGACTCCTGCTCTTATTGTATTATTTAACACGGTGATGCTTGGATGTCCCATGCGTGCGTGCCAGATGTCTTCGGAGGCGCGATGTCTGGGTGAGCGTCGATACGCGTCGGAGTTGGAGTAGAAGCTGGCGACGAAGTTCGCGCTTCTGTGGACTTCTCGTTGAGTTGGGTTCAGCTGCTGTGCGGGTGTTGGTGGTGCTTCGTCGACGAGGACTTGTGTCGTTGGTCCTGCTGCTGTCGATGATGTTTCTGCTGCTGCTAGTGTTGTCTCTGCTGCTGCCGATGTTGTCTCTGCTGTTGCCGATGTTGTCTCTGCTGCTGTCGAATGTTGAATTGTTGCTAACGCGCGTGTTCGTTCTGCTTCAGGGATGGTATGCGAATACCAGAAGCCTTCCGGGCTGAAGTTGGGGTCGAGATCCGGGGGATGTGTCCAGTCGGCGAAGTTCACGATGGCGTCGCTGTCTGCGGTGCCCAGGTCTGGGACGAAGTCAAGGACGAAGACGTTGTTCTTCAGGACCGCCTTTCCGATGTAGAGGCCGCCCTTCCCGTGGTATAATTTGAACTCCTGGGTGGTACTGTCGGCTTCCAAGTGAATGCCTTTCGCCATCAACTGGCTGACGCTCAGTAAGTTGTAGCCGAGTCCCTCCGCGATTAGTACTTTTGACATATGCAGTATAACATTTGTCTCTTGTGACTGAAGTTGTACTACTCCTTGTCGTCGTGTGCGCAGATTCTGGTTGTTGGCGATTGTGATGACGACCTCTCGTTGAAGTCGGTGTTCGCGTTGAACGAAACGTCCTGAGGAGCACATGTGTTGTCCGCAGCAACTGTCCAAGAACCAAGTGTCTCTTCCGGATGGCTCGCTTTGAGCGATGGCGGCGTATGTCGGGTTCGGCTGAAGTGACTCGCGGCGAGGCGTGCTGTTGTCGAGTTGTTCTTCTGGTGAGTAGTATGGTGGTGACTCGGTTGTGCAGGAATCTGTTATTTTCACCATACAGTTGACGATGTTTCTTGCTCCTTGTGCAGGTTGTCCTGTTGGAGTCGTTGAAGCTTGGACTGAAGTTGTCGGGTTTGCTTGCGTTGAAATGACTTGGGAGCTTGAAGGCCGAAGTTGTCGCTGTGGTGTTGTCGATTGCTGACGATACGGGCAGTGCATACGAGGATGCCCTGAAGT